TATTTTTCGCTAAAAAAATTAAGTTAATTGAAACTATATATTATTATATAATATTATTCTTTAAAATGATTAAAATTAATATCAAATTCATAATAAGTAAGTTAAGTGGTTACAGAAGAGCCAAGTCAATGAAGACGTTGATTCCAAGGGGAATTCAGGACGGAATGTCGATTTTACGGACGAGATGAGTGATCAACGTTGAGTCAATGCCTCATTAGTTGCATTGTTTGAAGCCACTGTGAATATTCCCTAACCGTGAATTCCTATGTGGTTTTTATATGCGTGTGTGATTTCACCGAGAGAGAAAATGTTACGTGCGACTTTGTTGTCAGCGAACATGAGAAACAAAATGCTTAAAAATGAAATTTCTTGAAATAGTCGTTCCATCCGTAAAAAAATGATATTCTTGCGCAGCCAATAAGCTAGAAATGGCGAAAATTCACATTTGTCTCTGATTCCCATGGAGTTCTCATTCAATTGAAAATTATTTCCTGAGAATTTCTTACAGTGTGCCATTTGAACTGATATTCGAAACGCAGCTCATTGGTATTCATCCTAAACACGAACTTTGAATATAAATATTCCTGTTTCAACCGTCCTCATTTGCAGGGTTTCATGAATGACATATTTGTTATGCAAATATGTGATACATTTTGAGCCTCGTTGCGGAACTGCAAATACTGAAAGTTTTCCGGAATCGTGTGTCAAAATCCTTTTTTTCGCGCGATAATACAGTGCACGATATTAAAGCTCTATTCGACTCCTGCGAAAGCTGGGGAAAAGGCACGCTGATTCGAGTCAGTCGTAAGCACGGAGCTCATGTCAATAGCTCTAAGCTCATGTCAATAGTACTGCGCTCGTGCCAATAGCTCTGAGCTTAACACAATAACTCTGACCTATTGCTCCTGATTTTCTATCAGATGGCTTTTTATTGTAGCACGATCCGAAAAAGTGCAGAACTGGTTTCACTTAGTCATAAACAAAGTCGCAAAGTCGTTCACCAGTTATTTGCAAGATATAGAGAATTAGAGATTTGGGTGATTCCATGTCAATCCGAACACTTTTTTCCCCGACCCCCTCCAATTTATATGAAACTCGGCATGCCGACAGTACCTATTGAGAAAACAAACTACATCAGTTTTCACCTCCATACATAATGTATTCTGAGAATGACAGACAATCACAAATTCAACCGTTTTGGGGCATTTCGGGCCAAATGATTACAATACTTTTCATAACTCCCTTAATAATGAAGATGAATATGTGAATATTGCATCTTTGGATAGGTTATGAAATTCCCTATCAGATGGTGTGTCACACACGGTGATGAAGGCAATGACCTTGGCCTACATGTTTTGTCATGACATTGAAATTTGACTTCACCTGGACCTAAGTTCCCACAATAGATTTCGCAAAAATTCGAGAACATCCATCAAGATCTCCTTTACGCACACTGCAATTTTTATTCTGGGGTTTTTGAATATCAACAGAGATTTCAGCATTTTAGTCCATGACATTCATAACATGCACTGGTATTACACAACATCAGAGCCACGGGCTCATACCCGCGCTTCACTTATCACCAGTTAGAAAATTGATATCACTGACATGGAATCACTCATTTGCAGAATTTGGTCCCTTAAAGAAATTGGGCTCGAGAACATGCATATTGAGCACATGTTATATTACAATTTTTCCCAATTACTAAAGCCCTATTTCATATCTTAACGTACGATCCGCAAAACGCTGCGCTCTTTTCTCATATCTATGCGTCCGGCAGTCAAAAGGGCGTTTGTCAAAATCGTCCCTTTGTCAAAATCAAGTACGTTCTTCAATATTCTAACGTACGGGGTTAGGAACGTCTATGGACATTTTTATAAGCTAATAAGCCCTAAAATATGCATATGCATATGCGCTTAAAAATTGAAAAATATGCATGAAATATGCACGAAAATGGGAAAATATGGAAAATCATACTTTTTTAAACGCAGTACGAATTTTTCAGGTGAAGGAAATTCAAGGTACATTACATGCCTCTACTGAGTATAGTTGATCTATTCCTGGGACAACCAGCGGCTAAGTCAGGAATTCGCCAATGGAGGGCTAAGGGAAACGAACAGAGTCTATTTTTCGAAACTTTTCGAGAGGGATGGTGGTAAAGGATGGATTTAGAACATAATTTCGGGGGATTTGCCACTCCAGCCAGAGCATAACATCCTGAAAATTGTCATAGATTGCTCATAAATAAACATATTGTTGGAAAACTCTTACTTTTTTATAAAAACGACCGAAACATGCATAAATATGCAGATATAAACGTAAATATGCACATGTTGAGAAAAGTGTAAAAACATGCATATTTATGCATTTAAAAAATGGCAGAAATCGCTTCCTATACCAATAAGACACGATCCAATCTGGATTGTGTCCTATGACGGGTAAATATGTCGAAAATAACTGGAGTTCCTGCTTTCAGGTAATATTGAGCAACTACAACATTGTGCGCATCATTCATATTAAATTTTTACGTGCAAGCGAATTCATCGCATATTATGGTAAGTTGAAACTTTCCTATTGATCATATTCCATCCCGTAATCCACGTTTCTTGGTCAAAGGATATATATGAGTTTCATTTAATCAATGTTGTCAATGAAGGTAAAAGTCATTTCTGTAAATAGCACTTCGTCATCATCATTCGTGAAAAGTAAAGGAAAAGCAACGTTCATTAAAAATCTTACCTTTTGGTCTGAGAAGAAAATTATCATGTGCAGTCGACTCCTCTTCTCCACAGCTGGACATATTGTCTAATGTACCTCACCCGGACGAGGTTCACTCATGCACGTTTTGGGTGCAGAATGAAGAAGATGCGAAGGCGCCTCTGTGGACCTCGCCTGAACGCTCTTGGCTCCTTTGTCCTCCCCTCTTGTCGTCCGGACAAAGGGTGTTTGGGGAGGTGCCTGTCTTTTGTTCTTCGGAGGAAGGCGTGATGAAAGATTCAGAATGAAAACGTGAATATGAAAAGAATGTATAACAAACGAGTTGTGAAACGAGGTAGCCGATGTGCGAAGTCTATGAAGATGATCCTCAAAAGAAGAAGTCGTATCATATCATTATGTTCCTTCGAGTGGAGAAACAAAGGCGCTAAGGAGCTACCATGCATTCGCTCTCCCTTTTAGGAAAGGTGCTTTTTATTCGTTCTTCCCAATGTCAGAGAATCTGACGGATGTACAGGATGAGCCATAAATATTGGGTTGGAAAGAAAGTCTTGCAACACTTTCTAAAACTATTTATAAAATGTTTCAAAGGAATGATGGGCGGGGCTTTGTATTTGTATATGCAGGAATGTTCTCGAAGCTTCTGACCTCGGGGTATATAAGGCGGCTTCTGCCATTAGTTTGCAGCCATGGCTCCGATCGAACAAGCAACTCTTCGCCCCATCGTCTACTACGAGTTCCTCCAAGGACACTCTGTGAGAGCCGCCGCTGACAACATCTGCGCTGCATTCAAGGGCAACGTCGTCCACTATTCCATGGTGTCTCGATGGATGAAACGCTTCGAATCTGGCGACAGGACCTTCGGAAGTTCGACCACGCTCAGGACGTCCATCTACAGTCGATGACGAAGCCCTGAGGAACACCCTCAACTCGAAGCCGAACGCCACCACTCGCGAATTGGCGACTACACTTGGAGTCATCCGTATGGCCATCGGCAACCATCTGAACGACCTCGGCTATCGGAAGGTTTACTCCACATGGGTCCCTCATCGGCTCATCGACTCTGACAATGCAAGCCGTGTCAATGTCTGCGAATCACTGCTCCTTCGTCCGCACAGACAGGACCTTCTCGTTCAGATGGTTGCCGATGGCCATATCCGTCACTCCAAGTGTAGTCGCCGATTCGCGAGTGGTGGCTTTCGGCTTCGCGTTGAGGGCGTTCCGCAGGCTTCGTCATCGACTGTCGATGGACGTCCTGAGCGTGGTCGATCTCCGAAGGTCGTGTCGCTAGATTCGAAGTGTTTGAACCATCGAGACGCCGTGGAATAGTGGACGACATTGCCCTTGAATGCAGTGCAGATGTTGTCCGCGGCGGCTCTCGCAGAGTGTCCTTGGAGGAACTTGTAGTAGACGATGGGCGAAGAGTTGCTCGTTCGATCGGAGCCATGGCTGATAACTAATGGCAGAAGACACCTTATATACCCCGAGTGCAGAAGCTTCGAGAACATTCCAGCATATGCAAATGCAAAGCCCCGCCCATCATTCCTTTAAAAAATGTTATAAATAGTTTTAGAAAGTGTTGCAAGACTTTCTTTCCAACCCAATAACTTTCACTAATTTTAAACTCATAAGGCTAACTTACTTCAAGAAAATAGAAATATGACCCAACTCGTAGTACCACAAAGATGGTTTCTGAGAAGGAGACATCCCCAACTTCATTGCTGCAAGGTTTTTGCTATGAGTTTTCACCCATTGGGTCCTATGATTGTGAAACTTCTTGTATACTTCTATAGATGCAACACCCAGTTGGGTTGCTATTTCGTTTAAGCTTGCATCTCGAACATTTGACTTATTATATGAAGGATGCTTGCAGTTCCACATTTTTTCTCGTTCCTTGTACAAGGAAAAAATATCTATCAGCGTTTCTCGACTTCATGGATTTCACTTCATGGACTTCGCCATTTCGCCATTTCGCATGGACTTCATACAAATTTTGAAATAAATGCCTAAGAATATGCTGTGGAATGGATTCTGACCGGTACAGAGACGACTGTAACTCACAATGTGAGAAGGGTGAATGGAGTCAGTTTTTGAAATTCCGCGGTCGCTTGCCACTGCTGCAACACAAGGCATTACTGTGTCTCGTCACGTGATTGCAGTACACATTGAGCAAGATCTGCAGAATCGAAAGGAATATGCAAACTTAGCTAATGAGTCTTCAAGGCAGCTGGTATGCCAGAAATGGCCATCGTGAGGTCATCGTGAGGCCATCGTGAGGCTCCCTGTCACGGCTCTCCTACCTGAGTCTTGAAGTCGAGGGCAAACTGGTGCAGATGAATGCCGTCTGTGAATGGATTGGTCGACTTCATCAGTTCTTCTGTGATCCTTCGGGAACTGTACCAGGTCAAGACATGCTTGCGTTCCTTCAATACCTTGAACGAAATAGTGAATTTCATCCAGAAAGTAATTGAGAAACCGTAGGAAAATTTGTATTCGGGTAAGACTCAGCTCTAAACTTACTTCGATGGCAACTGCGTTATATTTTCGCACTTTTTCGTTCGTGACCAATTCTCGCCAAGATCCTAGATCGTCTTCGGATACTGGGTCGTCTATTATACAAATCACTGTTTTCCCTTCGGCTCCGAGGGAATCCATTGCCTATACAAGAAACCATGATGATTCAAAGAAATTCGAAACCGCTTGAACCATCCCAAACCGCGAACTCCATACGCGACTGATGCAGTGACTCTTTCCGAAGCAGGAGTCTATTCATTGTTTCTGGTAAAATGAATCAAAATCTGAACTTGATCGACTCTGGAAGCCGTGTTTGGGCTTCGAGATCTGAGTGTCACTCGGTTAGTTTTACAACTTTTTCGGTCCGGTTTAGATTTTGATTAGGTCCATACTCAGACAAGCCATACCATACACTGGAAACTTTCAAGAGTGCCAAATGACGCAAGCAATTGTTTCCTGGCCATGGGCTGGGAGACATGAATCTTGACACATTCAAGTGCGTCATTTGCCACATCTTACAGCATCTACAGGTATAGACACATTTAAATGTGTCCAGCCTCTTGGCACATTATTTCGTGTCACCCTCGTCATAACCAAGACGTGTCAATCGACACACTACAAGGTGATTGGAAAGTCACTCCTCATATTTTAAAACTCAAAATCTTTGTTCTAACGTTCAAAGAAACTTCGTTCCTCTGACTTTTGAAAGCCTCGTTCATGGAATTTCTTTTAAAGTAGAAAGGTGTGATTGTTTGGTGAATGAGGGCGTGACAGTCGACCTCTTGAGGCTGTCCCAGAAGTGCAGTGTGGTTTGAGGTTTTGGGGTCCATGGTTCAGGTTCAGAGATGTTACCGCGTGTGAACACCGTAAGTATGATACGCTTGACCGCACGAGACCCGGAAAGTCAAAGGCTGACAACTGCTTCAGCAAATTATATGCACCGAAGTGGACGACTCTCAACAGCCCGCACTTCACAAAGAAATCATGCAAGAAATCATGCAATGCAAATAAATGTTTTCCTCCATCCTTGGTGAATAATTATCGTGTTGGAGTATCTGCTGAAGCGATGTTGAAATTAATCAAGAATGGTTTTCAAATAAGGCCTACCCCAAGAAAAAGTGTATGTATATTTAATGCCACTTGGCAATAACTTTTGGAGTGCCCTTCATATTTCAGGAACATTGGCAAATAACAATGAATAATAAAAAAGTATGTAATTTTCATGTTTCATCACGTTCACAAGGGCACAGCCCACGTAGTTGTTTTTTGCTAAAGGGGGATAATGAAAAGTACTCACCTCTGCAATCATGGACATGTTTTGCTTGAACTCCATGAGGCCTTCCTCAATTCCTTTTACGGGTAGTGTCATTACCCATAAACCAAGTCCTGTCACTATCACTTGAGAGGCGTTTTTCACTTCCTGCACGAATACCAATGCATTCCAAAGTATTAATATTTAAATTCGCAACAGTTTAAACCAGTAGTAAACATATTGGGGTAATATGTACCTGGTTCATTCCTTGACAAGTCTATTGCTTCAATAGCCTTCTTATAGTATGAGGTTAGTCACAGCCCCACTATTTCCACTGGTGGTGAAAATATGAACTAATTTTTTTTCGTCCATTCTCTTATGCATGTCTTCCGTTCCCTAATTCCCGAGTTTTAGTGTGTTTCACCTACTACACGATTCTCCAGAGGTCTCTGAATAGGGTAGTTTAATTACGAGGTATGATGACCCAGGAAATATTTTTGCACAATTGAAATGGAGCTAAAGAGCAGGAATATATGTGGAATAATCTTTACTAGATCATCCCAGCGGGATTTCAATTTCTGTATCTGCCTCCTCTATGCATTAATAATTTTCATGGAAAATGTCACCCAAAAAAGTATGCCACAAAAAGGATATGTATGAGGTCATACTTTCAACAACAACAAAAAGTTATTTTCGAAATATACATTTATCCAAGTATCTTTCTGTTCATGTTTCTTTTCTGTCTATCCATTTTGTGAACGCGAACATTTTTGTAAATATTTTTTATATGTGTTTAAACAGAATGAGGTCCATGTGGGGCGGTGCCTTAAAAAGAAGAAAATTTCCTACAATTTGTATCCGAAGAACTACAGGATTACTAAGCATCACTTTATTTTTTTCCCCTCTGAAACTCCTTGCAGCGAAAATGTATTTGGTAGAAAATCTCCTAAGGAAAAAGTATTTCAGGCTGAACCTCACAAATAAAGGCATTTGTTATATTAGTAGCAAGAGAAGCACTTTTGAAACAAATTTCAGTTTTTAATAAATACTTTTTTCGAAGCGGCAAAAACCTATTTCAATCACCTTCCTGTCCAAATACGTGCCATTAGGGAACGTAATCGAGATTATTAGTGAAACCTTTCATAGAATGCTACTATCATCAGATCACATCATATGTTCCTATTTCTCAGAGCTAAATTTAAATATTTAAATACTTCCCTCCCATAATCTGCCCCGAGGGGACATCCTAGGTAGCACATAATATTGATTCAACGTTGATTTGGTGTGGATTGAATGGATCACTGTTGAAGGTTTATACCTCTATGTTGAATCAACATTGATTCAACACGGCGACCGTCACTGTTTATACATCCATATTAACTAAACATTAATTCAATGTTGCACTATTCACGGTGGAAGGGTCAACATTAAATCAGCATCGTTTCAATGGATTCCTTTGCAATACAAAATCCCTTGTGTTTTATGTCTACCTTTAGGATTATTTTGTGTACTCCATCAGGATTCGTTAAATAGTTTTAACCATTCGGCCAGAATGCATTTTGATCAAGAAAAATGCTCAATTTAGAGCAGATAATAAGATAGTTGAAATGACGCCTGTCGCAAATTCTATCGCATCAAAGAAGCTGAAAGCAGAAAGAAACAAAAGAAAATGTATTGTGTGCATCTGACATGGTGGAGTTGTCTTAAGACAAGTGGAAAATTAGGATAAGGAGATTCAATAAAAATCAAATATTTATTTTTTTTATTTTTTTTTTCTAAGCTAATGAATCGATTGCCTTGAAAAATTTTCAAGTCTTGGCATGTATCTTACTAATGAACTTAAGTGTATGTGTGAGGTTGATTCGGTGTGACTCCTAACCCTAAACTTTAACATTTAGTTTCCTAGGAATGGGTGCCTGGAGGACGGGCCTTAGTGGCTCTGTGACTGATGGATCACAGGATCGCCTAGGGTCACCATGGTAATTTTTCTGCAAAAAAAGTTTCAGCTACTTTTAAGGAGGTTCTCAAGCCCCCTGACTACATCGGTGACCCTAGTAGCACCAAACATTGAATCATTATCAAGACGCTGAATCAGCACTTAATCAATGTTCAATCACTGTTCAATCAATAAATGATGAATGACGATGGTAAATTTAATCCGATCGACCCAGTATTTCACCAACTGCGCGTGGATAAATGGAAGAAGGCTTTTGCAAATTTTGCACGATTTTCACAGAATACATCACGTGATACATTTGGTCAATTCGCTCAGCTGTGCAGCAAGCGAGCGTCTGCATGTCATCCAGAAAGGCAAAGGAGGCTACCTTCAATGGCTGAGACGAACGCATCAGCGGACATGTCCGGTGCATTTTCTTAGCCTTCAAGTTTTCAACAGTGTATCACGTGATACATTCTGTCAATAACGTTCAAAATTTGAAAAAGTCTTATTTTTTCTATTCACATGTAGTTTATTTAATATTGGGCCGAACGGATGAAATTTACTATTATTCCTATGAAAAAAGAATTGGCAATTTTTTTGAGCTTCGACGGACAATCTTTAACGTATCAAGTTTGAAATGGCATAGAACGTGATACAATGCGTCAAATTTATCAGAATTTGGTACATGCCTTCTTTCCTTCATCTACATGCAATGTATAATAATTTAAGTTGATCTGATAAAATTTACTGTCATTGATATAAAAAATGATTAGGTACATTTATTTAAACACCGTGTATGTCGGGCTTTACATATGTAGTTTAACAGCACGCTTCTGCGAAAATAGCCTTTCGGAAGACCTCTCTATATGTGCCGTCAATTACTGTGTCCATTAGTAGGTTTCTTCTGAGAATTACCATCCTGTGAACTAGTAGTGCACTGCATTTCATCATCAGTTGAATTATGGAACACTCGATGAATTAACGTTAGTCAGTTACTCTGTCATTCAGACACGCGCGCGGTGAATGACATGTAGGGTCATTGAAAAAATGTATAATTTTTAAACGAAAATAATTCATGCTGTAGGAAAGATAAAGCATCTTTCTAATGGCATTTTAAAGATAATGGAATACCATTTTATACCACATGGATTAAAATTCCATGTAAGCAACAGCACTTTCAACAGTTCTTCTTAGGCCCACACAAAATTGTCCACAGAGCGTTTGAGAAACTGCTGTGGAACATTCTGTGTAACTTCCTTGATAAAATAATTCAACAGATCAAGATTTCTTTGTTTCCTTTGGTAAACATTTTTCTTGACCAAACCCCCAAAAATAAACCCATGGGAGTGAGATCAGGGTTTCTCGTAGGCCAACCTGTTGATCCACAGAATTTTGTGCAGCCTGAAGTCTCTTGGTGGTCTACTGCACATGAGATGCACTTCCAGCAGGATGGATATGCACTTCATTTTGTTGTAAATGTTGGGTAATGTCAATGTAACTGGATGGATAACCACTTTCCTAAAAGGTGGATAGGCAGGAGTGAACCAACAGATTGGCCTACCAGAAGCGCTGACCTCATTCCTGTGGACTTTTTGGCTGGGTCAAGAAAGATGTTTACCAAAGGAAACCGAATGTTCTTGACCAGTTGGAGAATTTTATCAGGGAATTAATACGGAATATTCAACAGTAAGATTCTCTTGCGCTCTGTGGATAATGTTGCTGTGCGCTAAAAAAAACAGGATAAGGATGAACTTTTCATATGTCATACAACATGAATTGTGTATGTTTAAAAGTAGGGAGTTACTTTTCAATCACCCTATATACATAGGGTGTTGACACCAACAACAACCTATATACATAGGGTGGTCTCGGTTGTTGCTTTCTTCACCTTCCACTTCCTGAAGACTTGAAGCATATTAGAATCCGGGAATGACTGCCACTTAAAGGCAAACTGGACGTGAGTATCATTGCTTCTATAGATAGTATCACTCTTTTCCTTGTGCTCCTGAAAGTCATTCTTCCCAATGTGATTCATGAGGTTCGTAAAAATGTCTCGAATACGAGAATCTCCAACAAATTCAAATTGGACCTCCTCCCATCGAAGAACCAATTGGCGCAGGCACTCCCTGGTTTCCCTCAATAAATAAATAAATAAATGAAGACACATGTTATTGTTTTAGAGTTGAAACAACATCTGCGCCAACAGAATATAATTGACATTCTTATTTAGTATAACAATAAAAAATGATCACCGACAGGGTAGTGTAGTTGTGCATCACACAGCCCTGCGGTTGCCATTCTCCATTTTCTTGAAAGGTACCATTGAAAAGCAGCAATTGACACGAGTTGCAACCTGGACGGGGAGATGAGGAAATATGATTATGGCAAAAGTGAGCTGAGAGAAAATGGATTTAATAGTTCTTCCAAAAAAGTGTAGATCTAATGTGGAATATATCCCTTAATATATACCGGTATAATACCAAGAACTTTTGAATGTGCAATAAACATTCTAGATGTCAAATTTTCAAATTCTAAATAATTTGCAGCATTTGATTAATATAAATCACAATATCTGCTTTCGTTCATTTCGAGGTTTACTTTCTATGAAATGATTAAAGCTTCTAGTTGATTCCCTTACTAGTGAATATCTTAGCTAATCCCATAGTCAAAATTTCAAGAGGTTGGTTGCATCACAAGCTGATGCCCCTTTGAAAATTGAGAGGGGAGGGTAAAATTACCTCTCAGAAAAATTATCTAATATCGCTAAAATTTATCGAGATAGGAAGCTGCCTAATAGCTCATTTAAAAACCAGCAGCCAGGTGATCATATTCATGGGATTTTCTGTGTCTCAATAAGAAAAATACGATAATTTAATTAAATTTAAACAACGAAATTTTCACAGTGAGAATTCTTGTAACTAGTTCTACACCGAGTGACGAAACTTTTCCACATTCAGTGGTTTGCTCTCAATTAATATTTCTCCATAACAATCAGATGGATTCTAAGAAAAATTTTGCACACTTATAGAAGAGCTTGGCTAAAAAATTATATGCTGAGCAGAGTAATTCCGTCAACCATTACTCAGGTAACAAGTCCCAAAGATGAAGTCGTCGAACTTGCGGACTGAATGTGAATTTCGTTCCGGAATTTTTTTTCTTTCCCCCCCCCGGGTAGCCA